GCATCCACCATCACAGGCGACATCGTGTAGGTGCCGGGCGTGACCGCATCCACTGTCGTGGCAGGGTACTGGTAGGCCATGGCAATGGCACGAAGCAAGCTCACAGCTAAGCGAGCTCAGGCAATTGGCTTCGCGTTTCAAAGCTTGGGCTAAGGTCCAGTCACAAAAAGACTAAACAATCAAAACGCAACTCCCACAATGCATTACAATCATTACAATGAAATGCTTGGCACCTTATGCCCTGTTGGCCCATAGACAACACAACAATCAAAGGAGTGGAGAAAGAGCAACACTCATCAATGTCGACTTGTGGCATGAGAGCGAGAGAGGGAGGGACAGAACAACACCTGGAAAACACTCTTCACCTCACACTTAACTGAGTTGTAAGCAAAACTGACGCTGGCTCCCCTCCTCAACACCAGGACCCTGCCACATGCACTGTCCTGGTGGGATCCGGCTTCTTGCCGTAGACATCCTGGTGGGATTCGGCTGGGCTGTCCGAAATGGGTGGTTTACGTTGTCCTTTCAGAGATCAGATGAGGTTCGGGGACCCAGAAGTCTTTGGACAACCAACGTTTACCGTTTCACTTCATTCTTCCATAACAGGATATCGGCATAGGAAACGGCCAAGGGAAACATGCTACACATTCGAAGTCTTCAAGGTTGTTCCAACTGCCAAGAACCTGGATTCTGTCGGATCCAACATGTTCAATGTTAGTCAGTTCAATGTTAGTCGACCAATGTTAGCACATCACAGTTCTCTCTGGCTGACAATGTCAGAGCGGACCTGCACCCATCAGAATGTCCCGATCTGTCCTTGCCAGGCACTGTCACTGGATCCCAAGGCCCAGAGACCGGATGCAATCCAGGCTGCAAATGTCCTGTCAGTGGAGATGGGGACTATGGGGACTCCAGTGGTACACTCTGCCAAGAAGGTGGAGGAGAATCCTCCTGCTCCATGCCCATGGATATGGAACTGTTTGGTTTCCATGGTCTCAGGAGTGTGGCAGGCGTGGCACCACGACTGGACAGTGAGGGTGGATATTCAGCAGACGCGCGCCTAGCTGATGCAAATCTGCTGTCGGGTCACTGCCTGGACACCGAGCCTGTACTCAGCCACGGCCGCCAAGTGTCGCGAGAACTCTTTTCCACCGTGCCGTGCCATGTCAGAGCTGTCCCAAGCGTGCCATCTTATCACAGCTCGACGCTCCACTCATGGCTGCTCAGCTGGCGTCTCCGTGCTCTTGGGTGGCAACAAAGGAGCAACAAATCATAAAAGACTCGTCCATGAGCCGTGCTTCGCTCAAGCTTCGCCGGTTCGGTCAACAAAGCAAGTTGGGGACGGCAAAGTACCAACAAATTTTGACGCGCACCCTGGGTCCTTGGCACTTCTCACGGCGACTATCACCCCATACAAAGGTCCTGCCATTTTTGCCCCACTTGACCCCACACAATCAGCATCGCTGCATACTCTACTTGAGTGAAGCCTACCTGAGTTTCCTCATGTCTCCTCACGTTTAAGTCTAAGTTGTAACCAAACTGTCCACTCCAGGGCCTTCCAAAACCCCCGGACCAGAGACGCCGCAGATGAGGAAGGCCCAAGAGGCGAGACGTGGTACTCACGAGGCCAGCGCGGTTGGTTCCAAATTGATCAAATCAAAATCCTCAGGTGTCCAAAAAAGCGAAATCAATGTTCATCGAAACCATCGAAACTATCGAAACCATCGAGCAGGGAATGTCAAGTCCATCAATTCACGTGACCAAAACGTGCCCCGAGTGAAGGTGCTTTCTGCAAATGCCACACCTCTCAGGGAAAACAACAAAGGTCCGAAGCAGAAAATGGCTTTGTTATCTGTTGTTGTTGACTGTTGGCAAACTGCACCGCGGAAGTTGGCACCACAAGACGTCTCTTGGCCCAATCTGCAGCTGATGTGTGAAACAGAGATTCATTCGCTGGTTGTTGTGAAGGATTTGGCAGAAGGGACTCTCTCTTGCAGGCTTGAATTGTGCTGGACTCCCCTAACCAAGCACCGTTGACGGTGTGAGCTACAAAGATTAAGAAAATCCATGGATTCCATCATTGCTGAGATGAGCTTATAAGCTCTGTTGAAATTGGCATGACATCACAGTCAAGGAAAGCTACTGAAGGGAAAGCACATTCCACCATCATCCTGTAGTAGGTCTCAGGGATGTTTTGAGTTCTAAATGCCAAAAGAATCGTGTTTTTATGAGGAACTTCACAGAAACTTCTGTCAAGAGATCCAGTGGCCAAATTCCTTGCGCAACTCCAGAGTTCGAGTTGCACGAAAATAGGGTGAGACGGACATGAAACGGCTTCTTCTGCAAGCACAATACAAAGCCTTGCCACCTACCAAGCCAACTGGGCCCTCGAAAAAAGCCACGCGGAGACTGTCAGACCCCCATTTGGAAGCTTCAGCCCCCCCGCGAATCAGCTCAAGCTGGCAACTAGCCTTGGAACTCGAAAGACTTTCGAAAAGCTTTGCGGTGCCAAAGCTGTCATCTTTCAGGACGCGAGACATGCAACCGATGTTCTAACCAACCTGTCAAGGAACCTCTCGCGGGGGTTTCTTCCTTAGCTCCAAAGGCTTCATTTTCGATGATGACCCTATACTTTCAAGCGGTCTTGTTGCAAGTGAAAGAGCGTTCCCCTGTTCTTCAAACTCCCGCTAATTTGCTGGAGGCCAAAATTATTGCACTTCCTTTCTCATCAGCATTGTTTACAGTGCGGCGGGTAAGGGTGCGGTTATTACGTTTTTGGGGTTTCGCTTGGGAGTTTCTTTTGTAGCCGTGGTTTCCCTATAAATCCTCATGTGGAAGTGGAAAGCTAGCTGTTTCCATACAGAAAAAAAGATCATCTACGAGGCCATTTTGCATTTCAAGCCCAGACCCAAAAAATCGGCCACAGGACGAACAAACATAACACAAGTGTTTTTTTCACCTTAACGGACAACCCAAGTGCATCATATTAACAAAACACGATGTAATGCAAAGAACGTACAAAGCCCACAGAAGCAACGAAAGCTCGAAAAAGAGAACAACAACCAGTAGAGCAAACGATAAACAACAAAAGTTGCAAAAGTATAGAAAGCCGGAAAAGCAACAGAAAAGCAACACAAACTCAAGACTTGAAAACCAACCAACAAACAGCAACGGCAACAAGGGCCATGGAAAGCAAAAGCAATCAAAAAAAGGAAACAATACACCACAAGGAGACAAGAAGCAGGAAGGTACATAAAAGCAGTAGAAAAGCAAGGAGCAGGAGAAATCACGGAGAAGCAATGAAAAGCAAGGAAACAGCAAGACAGAACACAAAAATAAGGAAAAGCAAGAAAAGCACGAGAAATCACGGAGAAGCAATGAAAAGCAAGGAAAAGCAAGACGAAAGCAAGAAAAGCTTGAGAAATCACAGAGAAGCAATGCATTAGTGTAGTTAAAAGCAATGAAACGCAAGAAAGCAGCAAGACGCAAGATAATCCAAAAAGAATCCCTAAAACGAAACAAAAAATATAGCCCTCCA